TTTTTTTTTACAACAAAATAATATACTTAACTTTACATAATAATGATAACATTTCTGATCTTGTAAAACTAATTTATAAGGTTCTAATATTTTCATAACTATTTTGGTTTTATTTAATTCTTTAGCAATTTTATGGTAATTTCACCAACTTTTTTGCAATGCCTATCAGCTTTTAGTTTTATAAAAAAAAATTAATTCYCAACAGCCTACAATGTTCTGGTTTCATTTATTTTTTAATTATTGATTTTTCTTGTAAATTTTTTATAAACTTATTTTGTATATGAACTTTTTAACGCTCCTCAAAACAACTGATACTTTTATTTTCTGTCATAATATACCTAACTCTTGTTTAATTTTTGAGATAATCATTTTCTGAACACAGTTTTTACAACGGACTTAAATAGCTCTTTTCTGTGTAATTTTAGATCATAAATCTCTACTCTGCATGAATTGTGCTGGTGTTCACTTGCAAGCTTGTATTAGGTGTATAGTCTAGTAAATTAAGTTCTAAATCATGTTTTTCATGTACCTGCGTTTGCTTTTATTATTGTATATTATAGAAGATGAACATTGAATACCTACTCATCTGAACTAAGACGAATTGAAAGAAAGCAGCTCATGTCTGCACAATTTGGTGGTGTTTTAAACCATTTACAAATCATGACATACGTAAAAAGATTTTAATCACAGATTATTTAAACCCAAACTTGCTTAGATTTTTTACCATGATTTTCTTTATCACCCTCAATCTTGAAGCCCATTTTCTTTATAAAACATGAAAACATGATAACCTACAAAAAAAACCATCTTTCTCTCACTCTCTCTCACACACATACACACAAACACACACACGCGCACGTACGTACGTAAAAATATAATATGAAAATAAATGGTAAATTTTAATTTTAATACTGAACTGTTATGATAATTTAGATTTGAAAAATATGTTATTATGTTCTAAAAACAAATTGATATTTTCAATTTTCAAATTTACATTTTAATAATAAGTTCACTATATTGTTCGTTTACATGGTATAATTGTATTGAATTCAAAGTCCCCATTTTAAGGTAGGTTATACACCTGCACCTAACAGTATAATTTCCTATTCATAAAATACATAATATTACGAAATTATAAATTTGATTCATATTTAAACATTATTGCTGTACTATTGAGCCATGGAGGGGRCATCTGATCTAACTATGAAAAAACTTTTATTTTCTTTCAAAARCATGAAATTCTATAACGGAAATTAATCGTATAGCTTGGTTTTATGTATAGGTAAATTCTATTTTGACAAATATTCATGTCTGAATTTTTTTTTTTAAATAATTTCCGGTACTTTTAATAAAATTGAGTTTATCATCGTTTTATAAGTGGATGTTGTATATGTATATCATGATATKTTTAACGTAATATTATGTATAACTTTACTCGACATCACCTTTAGTATGTTATAATATTTAAATAGCTTGTCAATATTAAAATCATAACTCGGTTTGGAGCATGTACACATAAACTCAGARAAACATTCACAAATATATGCATCAGCAATATAACATATATTATTATGAATTACTGGAATCGGTACTATGTTAGAACAGTTTTATGCGTAGTTTGTATAGCTTTCAGTGTTTATTACGTACGAACAGTAAAATGTCGGAACGAACATTATTTTAATGATGTATACTAAGACTTGTCATTTTAACTGTTTGGAGTTTAATGTAAACCATAAAAACAAGAATATCAACTACCTATCCATTCAATAGAGACCCTTTAGCTTCACCTATACTTATTATTTTTTTGTGACATTATTTTATGTATTTTGTATTCACCAATCATGGTTTTAAGTGTTTAAGCTATTTGATTGATACCTAGTATGTTTTCGATATATCATTTCATCCTAACATCTAAAAAGGCAATTTGTCATTTTGTTTTGCAGTATTTTACATGTTCAATTTTTACGACAACATTGTAACAAATTGTTTCAAAATATTTAGGTTGAAATCCTTATCGAAATAATATTATGTTTGCCGTTATAAATAAAGTATGAACCAAATATCTATAAAAATTTTAAAGTATCAATATTATGGCATCGAATAAACAATACATTACTATGTTTAAATTCACATAGTTCACAGATAAGATATTGAAAATATTTTTCATAAAATATTTATTATTTTTCATGTAGCCGTAAATAGAGCCATTTTTGAGGTGCATTGTTTGATTTAGTACCCTGGACAATTAGCCTTATCGTGTATGCTATGTACTTAAAGTAAGTGGTTTAGTGGATACATGTCAAAAAGAAAAGCATAATTTTTAGCGTCTGAGTAACTACTGTCTTTCCCCCCCCAAAATTATAAATACAGTTATGCATTTTTAAAACGATTAACAAGTATTTTCCAATTCAGTTTTAAATGCCTAAAAGGATACATATATTATATTATGCAATGATAATAAAATTGTAAAAGTTAATAATATTATATAAATATTGAATGATACCTATTATATAATTACTATTTAGGTATTTGTTTAGAGCTACAATAAATTTGTTTACATTTTTGTACTTTAATGCCTATAAAATGTAATGGAATATTAATTTAATTTATTACTCACTGACCTAATYAGATAAGGAGTATAGAAAGCATTTAGTTTTATATTCAAATTTAACTTATAAAACAAACTCATCTTGGTCCTTTGGGTATTTGACATTAGGAAATTAACTACAGAATTATACACACAATAATTGTACATTTAACTATTGAGTTAAAAAAAAAAATAATAGGTTCCGTTATTTATCCACTTTCATTAATTTGAAAAAATCACAATAATAACGATTCTTGTAGGTTTTGTTCATTTATACTTTTTATCTGTACTGGCATATTACTTGAATTCTTTCCTATACATTTTTTTTTTTTGATAGAGAATAATATATATTATTCATGATATTGAGGGTGTATATAACACCAACAATTTTGAACAATTATATTTTGAGGGAGATCTTATTTCATTTTAGTAAAAAAAATAAAAATATTTTTAATCATCTTATTTTTTCCACCATTACTGATAATTTTTAATTAAATATAAATACTAATAAATTAAATTGTTTTACATTTTCAGTATATAATTTATATACAGAAGTGAAAATAATACTATTGAATGGTGTTTGATTGGTATTTAAATGTTTTGAAAATTCGACACTATAAATTAATATTGTTACCAGCATTTGATTCAGTGTTAATAGTGTTAATTATTTTTATATAATTAAAATATTAATACTTACACACAATGTTATATAATATATTTGTATGAATTAAAACGTAGTAAGTAATATTTCATGGATTACACGTTTTAAAGTAAACGATATATATATATATATATATATTCTATTATCAATAAGGTGAACAATAATATAGGCGTCAAAGGAAAATAATTACATTTTTGATCAAACCAACTATTTGATTTTAAATATTTAACATTAATATTTTATACGTAGATTATGTTAATGATTTTCGATATTAAATTATTTAAAAATTAAACGTTTTCATTCCAAAGTGAGTATTATAATTTATGTATAATAATTCCTATTAAATTCTATGATTTATATTTAAAACAAATACTTATTTTTTAATTATACGGATTGTATAAACGGAAAATTTTCCCTAAAAAAATGTTATTTTCACAAGTTTAATCTTTAATTAAATCTGAAACTTATGTATTAGGTTATTAGGTATGTATACATTTTATGTATTATATTTAGATACTTGCGATAAATATTGCAACAACGGTTTATTTTATTTTTATAGTTTTGTAAGAATGTTATGGAAGGATTCATTTTACTTACTTTAGACTTTTAGAATATTTACTTTCTAAAACAATTGTGAGAATTTTGAGATCTCACTTTTATTTGCATGTTAAGGCATTTTATATGTCAAACATATTTATAGTTTGTCAAATCTTGTATCAAATAAATATCTATAGAGTATGTAAAAKTGAATGTCACAATCATTAGGTAGTAGAACTTAGGTACTTAYAATATCATCATTTGTCCACTTAAATAAAAAATGTACTCCATCTATACGTTTACTTTTTAAAATATTAATTATGTATTAATATMTACGCTAAGTATCAAACTATGAGAAGAAAAAAAATTGGAACATTTTCAATGCTTATTATTAGTACGATGTCATAATAGTACATAATACAAGATTCCAGTGTAATTGATAGCTCAAGTATGGCTTTTCACTTCTTTCGGTGTGCTATAGTCTATTATTACTTGACTATAACATCTGCATCAGAAAATATGTAAATAAATATTCGAGTAAGACAATAAAATTCTTCTCGAGAAAAAATACTAATAATCAACCAGGGTCGTGTTTGAAAAAGTCATAATATGATTAAGGRTTATATGGTTATTACGTATCTATATAAAACCRTTATGCATATAAAAATATCTATTTTTTTCATTATCATACCCAATTATTTATTAKTTATTATTTTATTMATGACGTTCTATGTGGTTATTTAGGTCATTGGAATTTATTATGACACCGAATTTGTTCCTGSGAAGAGTGGGAGGGGGGGTTGAACTTTGGAGTGATACCTAACAATCACTATTGTATAATAGTTATCATCCGTTATAAAATATTATCACAATAGCTCAAAATACAAGAAACCGTATTTGTAATATGCTCTAGCAGGTGATCCTGTCGTGCTATTTTATCCTCATTCTCACCACGTAAAATAATACATGGGTTTGTAATTAAATTCACTAATTTAAATACAATAATTTGTCCATAAGAGAAAAATTTTAAGACCGCTGGGCGACGATTGCCGTCACTTGCGGTGAAATTATTATTGTTATTATTTATTATTAACTCCGTTTCGATTTGTAAACACTTTTAATCCGATTATTCAAATACGTTTGAACACTATAATTATATCATAATAACCGATATCTATAAGCTTATAACACATAGTAACATTTCGATTGACTTACGTGAGCAGAGATGCGAACCCGCGTGGTTGCCGGAGCCGATTGGCCGCAGTAGTAAAAACTATTATACTCTTTGCGAAAAGTATAATAATATATTATATATGACGGAATTTACGTACGACGACTATACACAGTGTCGAACAACGGTTAACAAGAAAAATTCAAAAAAAAAAAAAAAAAAAAAACGGAAACTGTGTACGCGGAAATATTAATCACCGAACGACACGCGCGATCGACCGCACGATTAAACGTTGTCCGACGACCGTTGCGGCATTTACCGTTATCCGAACGTTACTGAGCGTCGACCGTATCCTAGGTCGAAACGACGCGCGGGCACTTTGACGGTGAATTTCCGCGCCATCTGTTGAAAACGTGGGATTTTCGTTTATATATATGTTTTATTTTTGTTCTTCATTCGGTGGTTGTTCGGTCGGACGGCGAGCTTTTATTATTATTCCTCGAGGTTTCACACCCCCAACCTCTAACCCCCACCCCTTCACCCTCTCACACCATACCCTCTTTCGTCTTTCAATTTTTTCTCCGGATTTTTAAGTGCAAACACCTATTATATACACTCGCGGCGGGTAGGTGAACTATATACTGCCTCGGCTATAATATATTATGTACACCTCTACCAGTGCATTGTCGTAGGTTTCCTCCGACACGCCGCCGAGTAGACTACTTGATGATGAATGAAATCGGTCGGCGTGACCCAACCGTGTTGAAAACAATAACGACATCGTCGTCGTCGTCACCGGGTGAAAAAGTTATATGGCTCGATGACGATCTAGAGGAGATGACGGGTAGGGGACCACCGTCGTTGGGGACTGCTGCAGACGGATTTCAAGCGAAGAACAACCGCCATTACCTTGTACACACCATCCGAACGTTGTGCTAAAAGAAAAGCACGATGTGTCAGAGGTACCTATGCTGTAGTTCTCCCACGGATAATCAACACCAATCATAATATTTCATTATACGTCGTGCGCGTTTAAATAAGCGCCCGCATTGAATTGAATGATATGATTTATTTCATTTATTTCGTACGTCTTTTTATACACGAACTTAGCGCTAACTATAAAAACACTATATTATTGTATAATGTATTATGATCAGCTCACATGTACAATTACAGRTGTTTGAAAATTGTCGTTAAAATAATATAGAGGAAAAGCTGTGGTAAAGTATTGTGGCTATAGTATAYATAACGTTATAATATATATATATTATTTTATATTTCACAGAAAGYTTAACGCAGATCACGGTTATAGTGTTTTATACAATTACACAACCACACAGGCACAATAATATGTGATTGAAATAAAAAAACGTTTACATTGCTACCGAGAGCTGCTGCTCTTTAAACAATAAATCGTCGAATATTGATTGACTGTGGGAACTCAACTGGAACCGAACACGACGCGGACTGCAGGGAATTACTCGCTATATGATAATCGAAACTAATTTCACGAATTACTCAGTGTCGGAATGATAGTGGGCTAGAAAATAATAATAATGCGATATACTACGCGCGATGTACCTAGAAAAATTCAGCGAAGGATTTTCAGCGATAAAAACCGAAAAAATAAATTAAATTAATAATGATCCCTCGTGTTTTGCGATGCGATGCGCTCACTCAACTATTTCGAGTCTACAAAATCGTTTGAAATTTTTCGAGTTTGCTGGCAGTTAGCCATTTTTTTTTATAGTACCCGAGAGGAAAACTACAATCAATAAGTCAAAATGTTTTTTTTTTTATTATTATTATTCGTTCGCACGAATTGGATTTTGTGATTTCCTATAAAATTCACGATTGTTTGTGATACAGATATTATACTTTTTATTGATCGCATTTATACCAATGCGCTTTTGTATTTTTAACAATAATAATTATATGTTTTAATATTATAGCATATAGATAGTCATTATATACATGATAAATATTGTAATGAYGTCTCCTAATAATATAATAACTCTGGAGAAAAAATTGAATATATTTGTATACCACATTTTTTGTGTAGGTTCATAAAATTTGCGATTATTTTTATAGTGTTATTMTTGTACATAATATAATGTATAATTTATCATATCATCGATACATTTTGATAGGTACGTACACTTTTTTTTCAAAATGTTAAGACCAATACTGAAGTCATTAAATAAAACTTTTTATTAATTTAGACACTATTGTTTAATTAACAGTATAAATATGAATTTTGTGTATGACTGTATCATAACTTTTTTAATTAAAACTTATTAATGAAAATTTTATAAAAATATATTGTTAATTTATATCAAATCTTTAAAATAAAATATTTAAATTATTTATACACAACTGTATTTAAAACAATTGATAACATACCATATAATATGATTATAGATACCTACCATAAATATACTTATATATATATATATACCTATTTTATGTAAGTTATGTACTAAGTTATCTAACGAGGTTAAAAGTTAATAATTTATCACAAATTTATAATACATACAATAAGACCTGTATAACTAAAAGTCAAGTAAAAAATGTTTTGTTGAATATTTTTTTTACACTTAGAGAAAAATATTCTATTAAATTAGAATAAATTATTCTTGATATAAAAGATATATTCAAAAATGAGGTGATTGTAAAAAGTAAAATGATAAATAATAATATTATAGTGTTTTCCCAGATTGATTATACTGTCTAATGATGATCAATAATGAATACTTTATGTTTCCATCAAATCAMATTTTTAAATCATATAAACAAATCATTACCTTATAAATTATGTGTGATGCTATGTTAATTAAAAATACACTTTATTGGTACGCTAATAAAATAAAATAATAATATAATACGAAGAAGAAATATTACTAATTCAGTTAAAAGTTGATTTAAAACCTCAAATTGTATCGTGACCATTTACAAATATACAAATATTAAAAATTTTATTTAAATAATATAWTACACGACTATAATTAACAATTCCGAAACCTAAAATACCTTCAATGACCTAACATTAAAAGTTGAAAAAAAATCGAAGCGTTTTATTTACAATAAAATGTATCTTCAGAAATTCAGAMACACGGATAAAAAAAATACACATCATTGTAAAATCAATACATTCATTGGTCCATTCAGAATCAAAAATATAACTGAGATAACTAGTCTTCATTCGAGTGATATAATTATCTACAAATTTACTGAGATATCTAGTTATTTAAAGCTGTTATCTAAACTCCATATATATAATATTAAATAATATAATATAATATATACTTTGTACATACATAATGCATTACACAAAGTAGGTATTTGGTTTATTAGTGATTAAGATTTAAGATAAGATTTAGAGCTTAGAAGTTGAAGACTTCTGCTGTAACAGTCGATTTTACAAACTTATGGTACCATCTAAACATTTTTTTTTTTTAATAATCACTTATTCCAGCTTCTGTAGTTAGTTCTTCTAACGACGAGTTTCAAAACAACTGTTGCATAATATTTATTAATGGCTCATCAAAATATGACACACCAATTACAGGTCTAGATATTATGATTTTAATTGATTGAAATGATTTTATTTACGAATTTCAAAATATATTTCCTTATAATTTGATTGTACATTTATGATCGCATTAAAAATATTCTGAAATAGCTTATAATCTTCTGTTACTATTGATATTATTAAGAATTATAATACATTTTATATTTTTTTTTTTTCGATCCTAAGCCTGGCAACTATGGCCATTAATTGTTTGCAGGGGGGAATGGTTTGTTTGGAACACGCATTGTATGTGTGACAAGAATTTTGTTGTCCTGGATGGGTGACCATCGCCGGCCGGTTTGTACGTTCAGAGAGCGTATGAAATTGACACTAGGCCACACCAAGCCACAATATTTATATTTATCTTAGAAAGTCAACGCTATAATAATTCTCGAAACATTTAAAATTTACAACTTCGTATRACACTATTGCGCAAAATATATTATTTTCAATTCATTAATCAGTTTTGTGTTGAATTTAACAATAATAATAATAATAATAATAAAGAAAAATCATATACCATTATTGAACCATTATTTTTTTTTTAAGTATACCTACTGAGTACGAATATCATTTGGGAAAATAACCTTTTTTACGAATTTTCTCGCGATGTATTCCCAAATACCTCTATAAGTGTTCAATGGTTCCCCTTTTCACATTTTTAGTCAATGGAAGGTTTGTATGAGCACACATTGCATTTCGTTTTTCCACTTTTAGTATCAAAACTTTTGAATAATTTCATATTTTTTTTTTAACTGGGAAGCCCGAACACTGTATTTTAATGTTCTGGGGTTTCGGTGAAATATTTGACTAATTCCACGAATTTATTTTACAGAGTTACTGTAAATACCCACAAACCACAGATGTAATAGCGTCGCCTTATTTCCATTTTTGATCATAGGTGAGAGTGATGGGATTAAAGGGCGTACAGTATTTCAAAGTATTAGTTTTTCTATGATGTATTTTTAATTTTTTGATTTTATCATGAGTGAAACCATGTTATTTAGCATTTAGCTATCCATATATATATGTAATGTGTGTAGTGTGTTGACATTATTTTATTTTTTAAAGTAGTAAAAATAAAACATAGATATATCTAAAAAAATATCTCAAAGAATGGTAAATTTTATGAAAATAAAATAATAAATATAATAGTGAAAAGATGGTATAGCTAATCGTATATCGGCACTAGAAATTATGGTAAAGTGTTGTATAATAAGTTAATTAAAAGTAAACGTTTAATCAATTTACACATTATTTATAGGTATGAATAAATATGAGTTATTACCATAAAAGATTAATATAGATTAATATTATAGCAGTTCAACCTAGTTTTGTTGCAATCTAAAATTTGAATTTATAGTTTAGAATCAGCATTGTGACAGATAAACAAATCACCCCTTCCCCAGCATATAATAAAATTACCACGCCACCGTACATCAATAATAATATAGAAAATACTAAATAATAGGCAATCATTTAATTATTCTACAAATAATATATTAATAAAATAATAACAATTAATTTGTAATTTATAAATAATATTATACAATAATGCACTTTAAGACTGTATAATATGTCGATATTAAAAAATGTCATGTTTGAATTTTTTACGAAAAGAAAATCACATAAAAAATTGTGATGATAAATTATTGATTTTGTGCATAAATTCATATGCAAATATATAAATTATTGAGGCTCYTTTTCAATGAATTTTAATGAGTTTAAAGTAATTTTAATAATA